AGAGAGAGAGAGAGAGAGAGAGAGAGAGAGAGAGAGAGAGAGAACGTACCTGGTGTATGCTGGCGGTCGGTATTGGCGTTGACGTCACGTACATTGGTCTTCGGCTGTGGTGTGATCCAGTCGCATGAACGTAGATAGGTTAGCGCCCTCACTGTCTGGCGCTGAGTAGAGTTGGCTGGGGGCTGAGCGCCAGACAGTAAGGGCAGCATTCGATACAGTGTTGGTGTGACCAGAGAGTGTCGGCATTGGCACTCGAGATCATTGTATTGCTCTTATTTGGATGGTATTTTGGTGCATTTGTGCTCTCTGCTCTTGGTACATGATTATCTGGACTACTTCGTGATTTTGCAACTTTTTGTTTCCTGCCTATCGCACTCGCTCATATTCCTTACAAATATTTTAAATAATAATTTTAATAATAATTGAATAATGTCCAAAAGTTAACAATCTCTTGCCAGTCTGCAATGTCCCCCTGAGCTGCCGCCTCGGGCAGCTCAAAAGACCAGAAGTTTTATTTTTTATTTTTGCTGCTGGAGGGACAATTTCTGTGCCCTTTGAGATATAAGCCCGCATCTGGGCTCTCTTGTGTTTTTCAATGTCTTGGGTTGGGGGTAGGCTACCAGCCGGGCCGCGCGGGTCACCTTGTTTGCCTGGGCTCAGCGGGCTGCCCAGCCGTGCAAGGACCATAGAAGGTCCCAGCAAAAAAAAAAGTAAAAAAAAATCCAAAATTGTAAATTTCTTTGTTTTTTTATGCAGAAAGATAAGCTGAACAACTTTTTTTGTTTTTTCAAAGAAAATTTTTCAAAATCAAAGTTAAAACCGGGAAGTGGGCCTGGCGTCCCTCACATGAATGCTGCGACCGCACGGGGCTGAGGACAACTTTTGCCTCAGGGTCGCATTCAAATTCTTTACCAAATTAAGAAAACAATATATATATCGTCAAATAGGTGAAACTCCGACGAAACAGTTTGCCACTGCCCCTCGTTTGTTGTCCTCTTCTCTCCCTCCCTCTCTGCCTACGGTTTACCAGGCAGCTCTGTTTGACTATATATATGTAATATATATTATTATATATATATTGTTTTTTTCAATTTATATATTATTTATATACTTAAAAAAAAAAAATTGGCCCGGCCAGGCAAGTGTTACTGATCAACGTGCTTTAGGGCATTAGGCCCCGCCGTGCACGCACGGCCTCAAACTGGCACCCTCAGCCACAGGAATGAAGTCTCATAACCACTACAACCCTTGCAAGCATATAGAAACTGGATCCATACCGGTCGTGATCCCGGGCCACTCTGGTAGCCTAGGTTGGGGGGTTGTCCGGTAGAGGGGAAGGGCCTATAATGGGGTTCAAAAAGAAAGAGAGAGAGCTAGGGAGTGTGTG